CCCCCCCCCCGGGAAAAGTGGGAAATACCAAGAGTCTGGGTAAATATATACTCAAAAACACAAACCCAATCACCTGTTATGACACAGAACAAACAATAAAATAGGTGTGTTCCAGTTTTAGATCAAGTGCATAATGCAGAAAAGTTAGGGTAAAAGGGATTGATTTATCAGCCGTAAAGAAGGGAAAAATGTAAATAAAGCCTGATGCCGATCACCACTCTTCCCAGTTCAGCATCTACCAGGGGGCGGCTAAGCCACTTGCCGGTTGAAAAAAGATCAAACCAGAATCAAATCTCAGGAATCAAGCATCTTTCTCAATCTCATCTTCAGAGCCGTGTATCTGAGGGGCAGACACACTGATCTCCCTCTGAGAGAGTGAGTATGGGTCAGGGTTTATCTTAGGGCTTACACACAACACGCCCAGCTGAGGGGGAAAAATAAAAAGAACCCAGGTGTCCTACCCAGCAAGTCCCTGCCAGCTCACCCGGGTTGGGATCCTGCCGTAATCAACCATCATCTAAATGTACATCAGTGACCAGTGTTCCACCTCCAACCGGTGATATTAAAGCGGCACAGAGTGTCCAGCAGAGACATGGCAAAGCCACACACAGAGTACGGTCAGCATAAGAGAGGTAAAGGTAGGATATGGTTCCCATGTCAACCTAGCGCACCGCCATCCCTTGTCGCCACGGGAACGCGATCTGCAGCTCAAGGCTCCAGGACACCAGGCGTGCACTCAGACAGGCTGACGTCTGCACGCTGGGGAGGGCGCCGTGAGACACACGCGTGTGCCAGCTGGCATTAGCATGGAGCTCCTGCGCCCGGCTTCGTCTCCATGGTCACGGGGCAGGCGAGCGGTCCCACTGCTGCACCCACCATCCAGAACCCACCCCAAACCCGCGCCCAAGACACCCTCCCTACACGGCTATCTGGACCGATCGCTTCCACTCCCAATGGCAAACAGCAGCAAGGAGGGCATAGAGGCCACACAAGATGGACACTCGTGGGGCGGAAGAAGTAGGGAGAAAGAAGTACACCAATACTATCGTATTTCTCCACAATGAGCTACCATCAGCCAGAGGACAGAAGCCGGCTCAGGTTCAGGGGACTGTGAAACTAGACCATGCTACTGCCACTTATAAGAAAGTGGATCATGTGACCAATACACTTTCCAAAAATGTATACATCAGAGCATTTGGCTGACAGTTTAGGCAAGAACACAACAGAAGGGCCTCCTGAGAGGAAGCACAACCTTTGGCCAAGAGTGGAAGCGCAGACCACCAAGGCATAAGTGCCGAAGTTAACCAGCGCAAAAGCAGTTTAAGACTGGGAATTTCTCAGAACAAACATGTTCCTGACTGAGTACAGTAAATAGATCCAGCAAAATTAAAACCACTGGCAAACTGAACGAGTAGCAGGCTAAGCCTGTGCGCCTGTGATCGGAAGGTCCACAGCTCGAGACCGGCCCCCGCAGAACAGTCACGTCCGCGAGCCCCTAGGCGAGGCCCTTACCTCAGCTCCACGGCCACTGTGTGCGGCTGTCCTTCGCTCTGATCCCCAAGTTTGCCCTCACCTTAACGTATGTCTGAGCAGGATTGCATAGGCGAAGAGAGAATTTCCCCCCCGGGGTCAATAAAGTATCATTCCTCTTCAAAGCTCATGAATGCGCAGTGAACACACTATGTTAATTTAAGACATGCATATCAAGAAACAATATCCACAGTTTCAAACTGATGATCAACAATACAAAGGGAAAAACTTTATCCGGTATAAGGTGATGTGAACCAGAAGCCTGGAGGATGCGCAAAGGGAAACCCCAGACATGATACAAGTCCATACAGAAACAAGCATTTTTAAGTTTCTCTAACTTTTAATACATATTGCATAAAAACAGTGAACATATGAAACACTGTGATGAGTTGATGTGCTTTCTGGTACTTATTCTGACACCAGAAGATTCTCCTGGCCTCCCAGAGGTTTAAGTTCAGCGAAGAAGTACAAAAATCCACCCCAAAGAATAACCCGCATGTGTTCGTCACACAGACGCCACTTCAGGCATCTGCCACAACGGAAAGCGGCAGGAAGGGAAAAGGCACATCTCTTAGGCAGTGGAACAGAATGGGGCCAGCCTAAACTAAACTTTATTTAGGTTAGGAAAGAAGCTGTACGCAAGAGCTTTACTAAAATTTCACCAGCAGATATCCCTCCAAGCAAATCGCAGAAGTGAGACGGCGGCATCCCACTCTCACCGGGCCCTTTCCGGACGGAAACATTCCACATGCGAAACCGGGACACGTCCGACTCAGTCCACTCCCTTGCTGCTGTTACACATAAACACGGGGCCGAACTGCCGTGGACCGTTCCCAACGATGACAGCAAGGCTAAATGGAACAGCGATGGCAGTCGATAGCAACGGTGAACCAACAGCCAGCAAAAACAAAATTAAAACCGCCGACTAGTTCATGTCAGCACTTGAAGACCATTTCATTGTGAAGCTCTCTGCAGAGCTGACCAATGGAGATCCATCAGCCTTCCAGAGAAATGGAGGATGGCAGATCTGCTGAGACGCACGGCAGCATCTCAGAAGGTCAAAGGGACATCTGGTTGGCTCCAGTGGCAACAGAGCATCAAGCCCAGGGCCCGAAACAGAGAACCAGCAGAGCAGAAACAGGCCACGTTTCAGCTCAATAATGGCTGCCACCCCATAGCCCATCTCTGAAGCTAAAGGTGCACTAAGGGCGACAAAGTGAATTATTCAAAGAACTTCCCCCAGGAAGACGAGGTCGGCAGTGCCGGCCGAGGCGGAGCCCCGCCCCCTGAGCCTGCTCAGCGGCCAATTACCACCGCACAGTGACCTAGTGACAGAAGGGAAGGTCAAGCAAATTCAAGGATCTTGTCGAGGCTGAGGGGGTCTACTTTAGGCATGCAGTCGGGGTGTGGTATTTGGGGGGGGGGGGGGGCTGTCAATCCCAAGACACCATTAACTGTCATTACACCATTAAGTACGACACTTGAGTGACCTTAAATTAAGATAGTTTAATGGAGTACATTAAAATCAGCAGTGTAGTACAGGCTTTTCATCAAGCTAAATACTGCTGTCTCTCTGCCCTCCTCTCTCCTTCTCTTACACATGTTCTGTCCGTCACCCTGACCGAACATCTGATATTCCGCATTTCATGGCCACGGAGACCCAGATCTTGTGATCCATTTGGAGAGATTTTATCGTTAAGGTGGGCTCATCTTAACAGTAATGTAGTCGTGTGGCTTTGTGCGATGTCAGCAAGCTACAATGAAGGTTTTTCACTGGGCCAAAACAAAGAGTGGCCTGTCTTAGCTCTGAAAGGCTTCATTGACATACTGCTTCACGTGATTATTTATCAGCCTTTATCGGAACCAACAACTCCTCCCTTTAAATAGATTATTAAACAGACTATTTTTATAAATAAACTAATGGGGAAATGCATGCGTCAGAGATGAGTCACAGACAGTCTAAACCAATAGCATACAAACAGTCATACCAGACAACAGCACCAGATAAGCACTGCAGAAGCCCCAACAGATACGTCACTGATAACATCCATCCATCTTCTAGTTGCTTATTCTGGTCAGGGTTATGGGGGGGCCTGGAGCACATGGGCCAAGCCTGGGGTACACTCTGGACTGGATGCCAGCACGTCACAGGCCACACACACACAGGTTTGCAATTACATCTTTGTGGGGACTCTCCTTTTATTTCTATGGGGAAAACTTACTCCCCTACCCAGCCCTAACCTTAACTATAAGCAGCCAAACAAAATGGACCAGAAAAATGGTCCCCACAACAAAAAAAGTAACAGGTTTTTATTACACTGTGCGGAACATTTGGTCCCCACAATGTAATATAAATCCACACACATACAGTCATACCCTAAGAGCAATTTTGAAACACCATTTAGCCTTAATTGCATGTCTTTGGCCAGCAGCTGGAAACTCAGTTAAAGGGAGAACATGCAAACTCCACACAGAGAGCAGAGGTGGGATTCGAACCTCAAACCCTG